CCACAGATATCTTATGCTTATCATATCCAAAACAGAATTCATTCTCTTCTCCTCCTCCCTTTTCAACCTATTCTTCTTCCAAATTTTCCTGTTTTGTCAAAGGCACCACTATCCTTACAGTAATTCAGTTCATAACCATAATCTTTGACTTCTCATTCTCCCTCGCCTCACATACCCTCTCGGTTGCCAAATACTGCTTTTTCTACCTCTGCAACATCTCTTACAACTGACACCTTCTCTGCAATCACAGCATTACCTCTTACCTGGATATTAAAATGTTCTCCTGATTGGTCTTCCTGCCTCAAGTACTTCCCCCTTCCAGTCCATCATTTTTACAACTGCCCAGACTTGATCATGTCACTCCCTTTTAAAGTAAACTACATTGGCTCCCTGTGTCTCTGGGATGAAATATAAACTCTTATTAGGCTTATGAAGTATATCAAACCCTTCATAACTTGTCTCCCCAATCAGTCTTTCCAGTATTACTGTACATTGTACATTACTCCCCATAAAAGTGATCCTGCCAAACTGGCTTCTCTCTTCTCTTATACACTGCACTCTGACTCTTGTTATCTGTGACTTTGCACTGTCCCTCACCCCTGTGCCTGTAAAGCCTGTGTTTCATCTTCATCTCTATTGAATAGAAGCCGACTTCATTCAAGATGGGGCCTAAGCACCACCACTGACACGAAGTCTTTCCTTATCCCTCTGATTTTTGTTGTCCTCCCTGCCAAACAGATGCAAATTAAAACAACTTTAAGCTTCCACTTCACTCTTATCAAATTAGCAATAATAATTAAAAACAGTTAAAACAATTAACGTTATTGTTGTATGAGGTATGGAAACGTGTTAATTGCTGGGTGAATTGTAAACTTTTAGAATTTTTTTGAGGTAATAGGAAAATAAACTATATTATCAAAATCATAAGAGCTGTCTTTTCAAAGATTTTCATAGCAGTATTGCTTACTTCTAGATTTTTGCAATGACAGTGTAAAGGTATGTATCATAAGTAACAACACAGGAGGCACTACAGTATTTTAGGCTCTAGCCTCTAACAGGTTCACTCTTGGTCTGGGCAGCCAGAAGGACAGGAAGACAGCTTCATAGGGGTTAAATAAGCTTACTTTAATCTAGTCATCTCAAGAGGGTTGCTGATAATGGGACCACCAACTTCTACAGCATTCCCTGATGATCCTTCTCTCAGGAGTGGCAGGGGGTGGCAGGGGTGTGGGGGGCCTCGGGGGGGGGTGCAGCAACCCCTATGTCTTGATGGGGGCCAGTCGAGACAGCAAAGCATTCCAGCTGGTGTACTCCTCTAAATCCCCCAAACCCTTAAAGGGGGCTGGTTGAGGCAGACACAGCATTACACTATCACATTCCCAAAATCCTCATTTATTGACCAGCATTCTCTTGATTTATTGAGAAGCACACAAAGAAGGCAATTTGCCAACATTAAGCTCACAGGTTAACTTTAGCAATATTGTCATAACCTAGCACAGTGCAAATGTAGTAACTATTACATTATGTCACCCCCTATATTTCCACTGCGATTGCGCAGAAGTTATTTTCAACCATAATTCATGGGAAATAGTATCTATTTTGGCCATAGATCCTGGGACCTACTATCTAAAAAATAACAAAATCCTTACTTACAAGGTCCTGCAGTAGGGGAATGATCAAATAAATTGTGACATACTGGTTAATGAAATATTACAATGAAATTAAAATAGATAAGTATGGGAGACATAATGTAAATGTATATGATAAAATTTTCTTGAAAAAAAGAAACAGAAGGTAATAGCACATGATGATTATGACCATAATGTTTTTTTCTTATATCTAGTTAATCTAATTCTTTTCCCTTTCTACCTTCAGCTTTGCCAGGTAAAGTTGTCCTTTTTCTTTTCCTTCAGCTTGTCTATAATCTAGGGTCCATGGAATCTTAAGTGATCTTGGAGGAAAAATACATTTTTAATTTCAACATAATTAGTTTCCTATGTAATCCCATGTGTTTTACTTTGTGCATATAAAAACATTTTTCTGAGAAATGGTCCATAGGCTTCACCAAACTGCCAGAGGATCATGACTGAGACTCATGACATGAGAACCCCATATATAAGAGAATAATTGAATAGGAATGAATGACACTAATCTGTTCTTAACAAACAAACAAAAACCAACTTTATATGGAACTTATGAAGATTTAGAGTATATGAATAAAAGTTTTTACATTTTATGCACTGGAATTTCATTTTTTTGGTCAGGTAATCCCATTTTTATAGATACCTTTTATTTTATTGCCAAATATATTCCTTCCCTTTCCCTCCCCAGAATACTATTACTTGTAAAAAGGATTTTTTTCTTTTAGAAGATAAAAAAGGCCATTTAGCAAGTCAGTTACGTATCACTTGTGACTGACAGTATAGGTGGTATTTCACACCATAGACTTCTACCTTTACAAAGAGGAGAAGGGATTGTATTTTCTAAACTATCTCTAATGCAAAACTTGGTCATTGTATTTATACATGCATCACACAGGTTGCTGGACATCCCAATGGCTACCCTGGTTGTAGGTGTTTTTTTGTTCTTTCCATGTGCATTTTTGTAGCTGTGTAATATGTTTGTGGTTTTCCTGGTTCTGATAGCTTTACTTTAATAGTTCAATCAGTTCATTTGCCATTCCATGCTTTTCTGAATTGTGTTTTGTTCTTCTGGCCTGGAAATATTACATTACATTCGTGAACCAATTTGCTCAGTATTTTCATAATTCTTTGATTTGCAAAGGGCAGGGGGAGGAGAGGGAGGGAGAAAAAAAAATTTGAACTCAAAAATCTTGTAAAATTAAATGTTGAAAACTTTCTTTGTATGTAGTTGGAAAAAAATACAATATTATTAAGTGGGGGGAAAAAGATTTTTTACAAAGGACTTTAATGTATGTTACCTTATTTGACCCTCACATAACAATTGTGACGCAGGTGCTATTTTTATTTATAATTTTACTGATAAGGGAACTGGGGCTACAACTTTTCCAGGGTCCATAGGCATAATATGGTAGTATTTGAACTTGAGTCTACTGAATTTCTTTGCCACTCTACCTACTGTGTGGGATGCCACTCAAATTAAAAATAAAACAAAACACAGAGGTGTCCAAGAAGAAACAGAAAATTAATTTATTATAGCCATAATTATTATTATTATTATTTCAAATCTCGAGATTTGGGTGTCCCTCCATCAGTAAGCTCTGATGAGAGGAGACAAGGGACATAGACACATAAGCTGGCTTAAATAATAAAAAAAATTCCTCCTCCCCCACAGCTGTCCATTAATTCAGCTAACAATCTTACATGCCAGACTCCAACATAGGACAAAGGATATAGTATACATCTATATTTTTTAGTTGTTGAGATAATATCAAAGAAGCAATAAAAAATGTGCAGTTAGGAAGATAATTTACAATTGTTTTTGGGAGGTCTCAGGGATTGAATAGATAATGTTGGGAACAGAAAGACATCTGAATAAAACCCTGTCAAAGGGAGATAAGGGGACTTGAACGTTTAGGGGTTCTCCGGAACTTGGGACAAAAGGCGCATCAAGATAAGATCAGAAGGCAGGCCAGGGCTTAACAATGAGACAAATTTTAACTGCTAATATTTGGCACTAAAAAGAGAAGATCTGACACTAATCTGTTCTTAACCTTATCCTACTTTCTGAACTCACTACCTTAATTACACTGAGAAGTCTTCACTGGGACATCCCATTCGCTACTATATGTAGGACCTGTCTGGTTTTGAGCTCCTTAGTGTGTATATGTAGAAGTGGCAAAGGTTATTTTGTTACTTTAAAAGAAACCAACACATTTACAAATTGCTTTTCGGAGTGGTTAAACCAATTCATTTTCACAAGCTATGTATTAAGGTGTACATCTTATGGCTCCTCCAGCACTGACTAATTTCATCTTTTGTTATCTTTTCCAGTTTGCTGGCTGTGAAGTAAACTCTTAGAATTGTTTTGATTTACTTTTCCCTTAGCAGTGATTTGCAGTATTCTTTCATAATAGACCAATAATTCTTTTTTGGAGAACTGTTTATTTATAGAATGAAGTAGAAAAACAAAGAAACATGAAATAAAACACATTACAGCTTCTGACCACTTTATCTGTGAGAATGGTTATAGGTCTTAAATATTTGTGTTATTTTCTCAAATGTTTTTGGATTGAGAGAGAGGCTACGTTTCCTTGATATAAGAACTCTGGTGAGAAACTGCGTCTTTCTTTTTGTCAACTTTTAGAGTTGCCTGGAGTTCTGAGAGGTTAAGTAATTTGCCCAGGGTCACATAGCTAGTATATATCAAAGGCTGGACTTGCTTCCAGGTCTTCTTGGCTTCCAGGTCAGCTCTCTTCTCTGTGTACCTGATAAAGTTCTCTTCTAATTTTTTATGGTGTTAACATTTTATGTTAAGTTTGTATATCCATCTTAACTTTATTGTTGCATATGATAAAACTAATTTCTGCCAATATACTTTTCAGTTTTTCTCATCAGTTGTCAAATAGAGTTCTTTCTTAAGTAATTTGTGTTCTTTACTTTATTAACAATGACATAAAGAGTTTGAGCAGTCACTAATTGTGTTGATCGATATTCTTTTTAGTAAATTATAAGAAAATTAAAACAATTTCTTAAAAAACACATAGCAGAGCTAACGGGGACCATAAAGACTTATTCCCTCATTTCCTCACCAAACACACGCATGCCGAGTAAAAAATAATAAAAGCTTATAAAAATCAAAACTTATTTTCCCTAATAGAAAAAGATTAGGGATTTCTGATAGGTTAGAGACTTCAAATTCCTCCAAAAGGATCTTTTTGTTGGGCTACTAATTCTAAGATGATTGGAATAAATTTTATTTTCTTAGTGATTAAGTAGTAAGTTCATCTAGCATCTAGTGTTTTGCTTATTTTATAAATCATCGCTGGTTGTTGTTATTTGCTTTTTTCCTTCTTTCAGTTGACTATATTGTGGAATATGACTATGATGCAGTACATGATGATGAATTGACCATTCGAGTTGGGGATGTCATCAGAAATGTGAAAAAACTAGAAGAGGAAGGATGGTTAGAAGGAGAACTAAATGGAAAAAGGGGCATGTTTCCTGATAATTTTGTTAAGGTAAGTAGTCTTTGATAACCCTTTTCCATGTCTTCTGGGAATTTGGAGCTTTATGTTAAGAAAATATACTAGAAAAAGTTCTGTGGTGTTATCTTTTAAAATACAGGTCAGACCAGAGTAGGTTATTAACTTAGCTGAGTTTTTTTCTTGTGATGAATAGTAGTAACAATGCTTAGTATATCTGCTATGATGATGTCTTTATAAAGAATAATATCATGTGACAAATGTTTTCTTTGGTCTCTATCCATGTAGCAATTATTCTTTAATGATGACTAATGTTTCTATAACTCTTTTAAGTTTTGCAGTGTTTTACATATATTATTTCATTTGATCCTCATAAGAACCCTGTTAAGGTAAATACTATTATCCTCATTTTACAGATGAGGGAACTGAGGCTGAGAAAGGTTAAATGATTTACCCAGTGTCACTTAGCTACGTAAGTGTTTGAGGCAGGATTCAAACTCAAGTTCAGCACTCTCTTCACTACACCAAATTTCCTATTGACATGATTTTATATATTGTTATTATTTTTGATGAGAAAGTACCTGGTCATATGCTTTTTGCATTATAGGGGAGCTGATCTGTTTTGTTTTGTTTTTAACCTTGGGATAGTTTTTACACTTATCAGCATTGTATTAAAAAGCAGTATTTCTACAAGAACTCTTGTTGCTCACAATAATTGTAAAAAAGGTGTTAGTTGAAATAATTTTATATAACCCAAATACTGCAGTATTTCATATTTCTTTTCTACTGAAATATTCAAGTCTTGATTTTCAAATAAGAATCTAGTATAGACCAGTGAACCTGCTGATGAAATTCAGAAATGTTTCAGTATTATTAATTATAGTGACTACTGTATTCCAGGCACTGTCCTAAGCCATTTAAAAATGTTACCTCATTTGATCCTCACAACAACTCTTGGATTTTAGGGGCTCTTATCGTCCCTATTTTACAGTTGAGGGGAAAACAAAACAGGTTAAGTGATTTGCCCAGTCATACAGCTACTAAGTCTGAGGCCAGATTAAAAAAAAAAACCCAATCAAATTTATTTATTTTTGTTACGTTTTAAATTTCAAAATGTCTCCTTTTCTTTCTTCCCACTACAGAAGGCTACCATTTGACCCAGATTGTGTGTGTGTGTGTGTGTGCGCGCGCGCGTGTGTATAAAAGCCATGCTATGTATACTTTTATTCTGAGGCCAAATTTGAACTTGGGTATTTTTGATTCCTAGCACAGTGCTATTTCTATAGCACCTCTGCAGTTGGTTATTAAATGGATCACTTGTGAACGTTTAGAATGCAAAATAAGTCCATAGGAGCCAGCATGAGCCTTCTCCAGGCCTGGTAGACTTTATCATTTCCTCTTGATAGGATTACTATATTGCTAGATTAAGAAATGGTATGCCTAGATTTTATTGTGGTACTTTTGAAGTAGTTTTGGAAAAAGTGTTGGTAGTAGAAATTGCTAGGTGACATATTTTGGTATATTATCAACCATGATTTTATAAAAATTAGAGCACTCCAGAAATGGAATGTTGGGTGCCTTGTCAATTTCTGTGTTATTGGGGATATTCAGGCAAACACTAGAAGATCACTTCTTTGTAGTGTTATGGAAGGATCTTAGAATCATAAATTTAGGACTGGAAGGAACATTAGAGGCCATTCAATGTAACTCCTTCATTTTATGGATGAGGAAACTGAGGCTTAGTGTGGTAAATGACTTGTCAGGATCACACAGTGACAGAGCCAAAATTTGAACTTATTAATATAGAGCTTCTTCCTCTGAGTGTCTAATACCTTGCCTCAGTTCCACTTCCATAAAAAGGATATCACGTCAACAGTAGGGCAGTGTGTTCAGGATACCCTGCAACTAGTCCCAGGGACAAAACTTCTGAGTGTAGTGAGTAGGACTAGAAAAAAGGGACTTACACTGTAGACTGCTGGGCTGCAGGGCTCCCCAAGGTAGTAGTCTCTACCTCCCACCCAGGGTATAATTTGAGGTATGTAGTAAGTGCTAAATAAATTCTGATTAAATTGGGTAGCTCTGGCTTCTAGCTTCTTAGTTTGGAGTAGTATATACCAGAAAAACATGCTCTGTGATTCACCTTATTGTGATATTCACTTTATTGCTGTGGTCCGAAAGAGAACTTGCATTATGTCTCTGAGGTATGTCTGTAACTGCTCTTATTCAAAAGGCAACAACAGGTGCCAAAGCCAAAATTAAATGTTGATTCTGTGGGTATTCAGATAGTTGAAACTTAAGTATGTAACCTCCCTTATTTTATATATATGTATGTATTTTTTACCCTTTTATATTCTTTTTAAACATTTTTAAAAGAAATTTATTTTTAGTTTTCAACATTCACTTCTACAAGATTTTGAGTTCGAGATTTTCTCCCCATGTCATCCCTCCTCCCACCCCAAGATAGCATGCATTCTGTATACCCCTTCCTCTAATCTGCCCTCCCTTCTATCTCTCCCCCCCTTCTCTTATCCCTTTCCCCTTCTGTTTTCCTATAGGGCAGGATAGATTTCTATACCCCATTTCCTTGTATTTCTTATTTCCCAGTTGTGTGTGAAAACAATTTTTTTAACATGTTTTTTTAAAACTTTGGGTTCCAAATTTTCTCCCTTCCTCCCTCCCCACCCACCCTCATTGAAAAGGCAAGCAACTCAATACAGGTTATACAAGTGTAGTCACGCAAAACACTTGCATAGTAGACATGTTGTGAAAAACTAAATACATTTCCTTCATCCTCCTGCCCCGCATTTGTTCTATACTGTTTTGACCCTGTCCCTTCTCAGAAGTGTTTGTTTCTGATTATCTCCTCCTCTAATCTACCCTCCCCTCTATCATATCCCTGCTTTCTTGTCCCCTTCCCCCCCCCATTTTCCTGTAGGGTAAGATAGATTTCCATACCCTATTGAGTGTGTATGTTATTCCCTCCTTAAGCCAAATCCCTATGAGAATAAGATTCACTCATTCCCTCTCACCTTCCCGTTTCCCCTCCACTGTAAAAGCATTTTCTTGTCTGTTTTATGTGAGATAATTTACCCCTTTCTACCTCTCCCTTTCTCCTTCTCCCAGTATAATCCTTTCTCACCCCTTAATTTTATTTTCCAGATGTCACCCTTTCATCTTCAGCTCACCCTGTGCCCTCTATCTATCTATCTATCTATCTATCTATCTATCTATCTATCTATCTGTCTGTCTGTCTGTCTGTCTGTCTGTCTGTCTATCTATCTATCTATCTATCCATCCATGCATACATATAATTTTTTCCCTCCAACTACCCTAATACTGACAAAGGACTCATGGGTTACAAATCTCATCTTTCCATGCAGAATGTAAACAGTTCAGCCTTAATAAGTGTCTTATGATTTCTCTTTCCTGTTTACCTCTTCATGTTTTACTTGAGTCTTGTATTTGAAAGTCAGATTTTCTATTCAGTTCTGGTCTTTTCATCAAGAATGCTAGAAAGTCCCCTATTTCACTGAATGTCCATTTTTTCCCCTGAAGCATTACACTCAGTTTTGCTGGGTAGGTGATTCTTGGTTGTAATCCTGTCTCCTTTGCCCTCCAGAATATTATATTCCATGCCCTGTGATCCCTTAATATAGAAGCTGCTAAAACTTGTGTTATCCTGATTGTGTTTCCACAGTACTCGAATTGTTTCTTTCTGGCTGCTTGAAGTATTTTCTCCTTGAACTGGGAATTCTGGAATTTGGCTTCAATATTCTTAGGAATTTTCCTTTGGGAGTCTCTTTCAGGAGGTGATCAGTGGATTCTTTCCATTTCTATTTTGCCCTCTGGTTCTAAAATATCAGGGCAGTTTTTCTTGATAATTTCTTGAAAGATGATGTCTAGGCCTTTTTTTTGATCATGGCTTTCAGATAGTCCAATAATTTTAAAATTCTCTCTCCTGGATCTATTTTCCAGGTCAGTTGTTTCTCCAGTGAGATATTTCACATTATGTTATGTTTTTTCATTCTTTTGGATTTGTTTTACAGTGTCTTAATTTCTCATAAAGTCACTAGCTTCCAATTTCTCCATTCTAATTTTTAAGGAAGTATTTTCTTCAGTAAGCTTTTGGACTTTTCCATTTGTCCAGTTTTGCTTTTTAGGGCATTCTTCTCCTCATTGGCTATTTGGACCTCTTTTGCCGTTTGGGTTAGGCTATTTTTTAAGGTGTTGTTCTCTTCAGTATTTTTTTGGATCTCCTTTAGCATCACTCTCAGTTTTCCCTCTACTTCTCTTGCTTGCTTTTCAAAATCCTTTTTGAGCTCTTCCCATGGCCTGGGACCAATTCATATTTTTCTTGGAGGCTTTGGATGTAGGAGCTTTGATTTTGTTGTCTTCTTCTGGTTGTATGTTTTGATCTTCTTTGTCACCAAGGTAAGATTCTGTGGTCTGACTCTTTTTGTGCTGCTTGTTCATGATCCTGGCCAATTACTTGAGTTATAAACTCTTTGTTAAAGTAGAGGTCTGCTTCCAGTGTGAAGAATGCACTGTTTCAAGCTTCAGGGGTTTTGTGCAGCTCTTTTCAGAGATACTTCTAGGGACCTATAAATTTTCATTTCTTCCAAGGTGGTATGATCAAGGACGAGATGTTTACTCTTTTCCTGGCCTGTGCCCTGGTGTATGAGTGACTACCAGCACTCTTTTCAGTCTTGGAACTGTGAGAAGAATTTTCTCTCTAATGCCGTTACAAGTTCCATCATCCCAGAGCTCCTCCTTGCCCCAGGACCACCACCCAGAACTGTGACCCAGATCCAAGCATGGGCAAAGCAAGAGAATCCTTCACCAGCAGAGAGATCCCTGCAATCCCCCTTTGATCAGCCAGTAGATTCCCCCTCAGTCTGTGGGCTGGAAGCGCAAGAAGCAGCAGCAGCCCTGGGGGCCGAGTGCAGGGACTGGGGCTGGAACCACACTTCTGTCTCTCACAGCAGACAGACTTCTCTCACTGACCTTCTAAGCTCTCTTTGGCATTCGTGGGTTGA